ACTACCTCTTATTTATTTATTTATTTATTCATTCATTCACCCATTCATCCATTTTTTGTTTACTTATTTATTTTTAGTTTTCAGCTCTTTCCCTCCCTCCATCTCTCCCCTCCCTCTCTCCAAGACAGCATGCAATTTCATATAGGCTCTACATATACATTCATGTTAAACCTATTTTCACATTAGTCATGTTGTAAAGAATTAGAACCATGGGGAGAAAGCATAAGAAAGAAGAAACAAGCAAAAAAAATGAGAGCAAATAATATGCTTCGATCTGCATTCAGACTACTTAGTCTTTTTCTGCATGTGCACAGCATTTTCCATCATGAGTCTTTTGGAGTTGTCTTAGATCCTTGCATTGCTAAGATATAAGTCTATCAAAGTTAGTCATCACACATCGTGGCTGTTACTGTGTACAATGTTCTTCTGGTTCTGCTCACTTCATTCAGCATCAGTTCAAATAAGTCTTTCCAGGTTTTTCTGAAGTCTGCCCGCTCATCATTTCTTGTAGCACAATAATATGGCATTACATTCATATACCACAACATGTTCAGCCATTCCCCAACTGATGGACATCTCCTCAATTTCCAGTTGTTGGCCACCACAAAAACAACTGCTATAAATATTTTTGTACATGTGGATCCTTTTCGGATTTGTGTCATTTCTTTGGGATACAGACCTAGAAGTGGCATTGCTGGGTCAAAGGATATGCACATTTTTTAGCCCTTTACACTGCCTCTCTTAATCTGCCTTCCCTTTTATTTCCTTTCTTCCTTTTACTTATCCCATTTCCCTCTTATTTCTCTGTTGCGTAAGATTGATTATTTCTATACACAATTGAGTGTGTATATATATTCTCTCTTTGAACCAGTTCCAGTGAGAGTGAGTTTCAAGCATTGCCCACTACCCTTTCCCCATTCTTCCCTCCATTCCTTACACGCTTCTTTTTTGTGAGATGATGTTCCCTAGTCTTCCTTTCCCTTCCCTCTTTTCCCAGTGCATCCTTCTTTCTTATCCCTTCATTTCCATCCTTTCTTTCTCGGCCCCCTGGAGCTCAATAGCATCTGATCTGGCAGAGGGTCCCATGGGGGAAGCTGTCCAGGCCAAGGCTGAGCAGGTGGGGAGTGCAGCAAAGGAGGGCCCAAGAGTGGCTAGCCCAAGCCCTAGTGTGGGGGAGGCAATGGGGTTGGGGCTCCTGGAGGCTGTAGTTGGTGGAGGAAGGCCTGGGGTGGCGGACCCCCAGCCTGGGGTGGCGGTGGGGGTGGTGGATTCAGCAGGAGGCTCCACAACTAGGGGTTGGCACCTGGGTTCTGGGGCTGCAGGAGAGGCCCTGGAGGGTGGAAGTGGATGCAGCCGGCAAAGCCATTGCCCATGATGCGGTAAAGGTCTTTGAGAGAAAGAATAATAAAATTTTGAGGAGTTAAATGTATCATCTTTCCACAGTTTAACTTTATTAAGTCCCTTGTGATTTCTCTTTCAAGTGTATCTTTTTGTGCTTCTTGTTTGAATGTCAGATTTTCTATTCATCTCTGGTCTTTTCAGCAGAAATACTTGGACATTTTCTATTTCATTGAATGTCAGTTTTTCCCTATAGAATTATATTCAGTTTTGCTAAGTAGGTTATTCTTGATTGTAATCCTAGCTCTTTTGCTTTTGCCAATATCACATTCAAACCTTTCTGCTTCTTTAATGTGGAAGCTGCTAAATATTGTGTGATCCTGACTGTGGCTCCACAATATTTTAATTGTTTTTTTTTTTTTTTTCTGGCTGCTTGCAACATTTCCTCCTGAGAGCTCTGGGATTTGGCTGTAATATTCCTGGTAGTTTTCATTTCAGGATCTCTTTCAGGAAATGATTGGTAGATTCTTTCCATGTCAGTTGTGCATTTTTTCTAGATAATTTCTTGAAAGATACTATCTTGGCTCCTTTTTCATCATGACTTTCAGGTAGTCTGATAATTCTTAAATTATCTCTCTTTGAGCTATTTTTCAGGTCAGGTTTTTTTTTTAAATGAAATATTTCACATTTTCTTCTTTTTTCCATCCTTTGGGCTTTGTTTTATTTTTTTCTTGATGTCTTATGGAGTCATTAGCTTCCATTTGCCATATATAATTTTTAAGGAGTTATTTTCTCAGTGAGTTTTTGTACCCCTTTCCCATTTGGCCTTTTTAAGGAGTTCTTTCTTTTTCAATCACTTTTTGTACCTCTTTTACCATTTGGCCAATTCTCTTTTTTTAGGGTGTTATTTTCTTCAGTATTTTTGTGCCTCTTTTACCAGGCTGTTAATTCTCTTTTCTTGCATCACTCATTTTTAAAAATCAATTTTTACTCTACCACTTTTATCTTTTTTCTTAACTCTTCCAGGAATTCTTGTTGAATTTGTGTCCAATTTGCATTTTTCCTTTGATATTTTCCTTGTAGCTGTTTTCATGTTGTCTTCTTCTGAGTTTCTGTGTTGTTCTTCCCTGCCACTATAGTAGGTTTTTATGGTCAAGTTCTTTTTTTGTTGTTTGCTCATTTTTCCAGCTTGTTTTTTTAACTTTGAATTTAATATTAAAGTTACACTGTGTTAATCTGGGCCTAAGGAAGTTGTAATGAATGAAATTTTTCTGAGAGAAAGTTTTTCTGGGTAATTAATACTTTATTAATTATTGCTAGCAAATAATTAATTGATTGAGAACAATTGTTCCTCTTGACCACAACAAAACTGTCCCTGGAGAATATAGAATGCTTAAAAGCCTTTGGAAAAGGGTGTATCCCTGAGGGTGGAAATCATATTTGATTGGTTAACAATCAGTGAGGGGCTGGACATATTAATGAGGAGGTGGGGAAAAAAAAGTCTTCAGCTTCTCCTGCAGAGAAATGTGACCTAATCAGGCCACTTCCTGCAACCTAGAAAAAAGAATCCATCTCTACCCAGATCACTCTGTCTGATTTTTTCTTCATAAAATGTGTCACTCTAAATTCTAATGGAAGGTTCCAAGGACATGGACTTATTTCCTAAGGGCAAGATCTCACTTAGACCAGATTCTCTGTTTGTAAGGTCTTCTAGTGGGATGGGGTCCTATCCAAGACAAAAAAGTCTGTACCTGGACGATTTAAGCAATCTCATCTATCAGCAATGTCCTTCAGAGACCAGCTGAATAACTATAGGAGCTGGTTTAAGGAAAACCTTAATCTTAGTTTAATAATTGGTTATTAATATAAGAGAAAAATAATCATTTTTCTTAGCCGTTGTCCTAACCTTTAGGCTTTTTTTGTGCTGCTGTTTTCAGAGCTAGTTCTGGGGGGTCTTTAAGTTTTCAGTGCTTCCCAAATGGTATTAGCTTGGGTGAGGTGTTCTGCTTGCTTGTCTTTACTCAAGAAGGGCCCCTCCTCCCCCATAGCCACAAATGCTAGTGTTTGACCCTGGAACTGTGACCAGGGTCCCTGTTCCCTTGTGACTGAGCACAAGCCCTCCTTTCTGCCCAGGAACTGTGACTCCAAGCTGTATATGAACAATAGAATTGCCAAATAGTGCTGGTTCTTGCACTTAGTGCCAGGAAAGGGTCCTGTGCTTTCTCTTTCCACTTCTCTGACCCTTACCATTTCTGAGCCACTGCTGCCACTGCTGTAGCTGCCTTCAAGGCCAACTACTGGAGCTGCTGCTCCCATTTGTGCTGTGGGCCAGCCCCCACCCCATGTCACAGAGCTCTCCTGCAGACCTTCTAAGTTGTCTTGGTCTAGAAAAATGTCTCACCCTCACCTTCTATTGGATTTGATGCACCAGAATTTATTTGACACGTTATTTTTAAAGTTGTTTGGAGGGGAATGTTGGGAGAGTTTATTTGGATTACTGCCTCTACTCCACCATATTGGCCCAACCCCCTAACATAAGTTTTTCAAATGTGGGAAAATGATGTTAGGAGCAATTCATAAAAACTTCCTGGGAGAAAATAATCAAGAGAGCCACAAGTACCACTGGGAACATCAAATCCATCAAATGAATGATAAATATAATGCTGTTACTTGTGCCTATCTGGAGTGATAATGAAACATTTTCTTTATTTTTTTTTAAGCATTTTCTTTAAAAAGAAAATTCAGTAAATATTGTGATGGACAAGTTCAATACCAAACCTTATTTGCAGTAAAATGTGTACCCTATTAGAAGTAGACCAGAAGTTACAAGGTGGCATATTAGAATGTGTTCCATAGGTATTTTGATAATGGCTTGATAATATCTCATTAACAAATTTTACTAACACAAGAACCTATATTCTAAAAAGGTATCAACTGGAGTAAGAGTAAACCTCTTGTGCTTAGGTGGGGGAAGTGGATCAACATAATAAAATTTACAGTCAGAGGCAGGTTAAAAAATATTTGAGATAATGAAATCATACCATACTGAGTTTTCAAAGGAGGGTGTTCTGACTGACTCAAAGAGTATTGTTGGGCAGAAGTGGCTGCATAATCCTGGGTTAAGTGGATCAAGTAGTCCCATGCAGTGCAGCATCACAATCCCATGTCCGGACTGATGATGAATACAATCTCTAATCTCTTCTGTTCTTATGAGAGTATCATCTTTGTTATTCAGTTTGGCAGAGAGAACATGGTGTTTACAATGGGCACACAATTGGGACGGTAGATTTTAAACATTAATAAGAAGTGGTAAAGATAAAGTGAATGCTTGATAAGTATACCTTACTGAGAAATTAAAGAGAAAATTTAGGGCTTTCAAATGCTCATAACTGTAATTCTTTAAGGTTTCCATGAAGTTCTTTTCCTAAGTTCTGTCATGTTGATTTCCAAGTTTATTTGGAATAAGAATATTTGGGTTCAATTAGATAAATGTGTGTAATACCAACAATTCTGGAAAAGTACAGTATTACTTAGAAATACCTAAATAAAATTGAGTCATCTGAATTTTTATTAAAATTTAGGGGAAGTTATTTTAATATAGGCCATTAATATGATAATGAAAGAATAATATCTCTCTGTGTGTTTATTTCTTTGTTTTTAAGCTGGACCTGTGATCTCCAGAATGCTGACATACCCTCCAACTCGCCGAGCTTTAATTGTGGGTTGTGGCCTACAAATGTTCCAACAGTTATCGGGCATTAACACCATCATGTATGTATTCCTTTCTAGCTTTATAATGGAATCATTGTTGATTTTGGGGTTTTTCAACATTAAAAATTATTTGAAGGAATTTTTATAAGTAAATTTCATAGAGTACTATGAAATTACTGTCATATGCTAACTACATTGGTTTATTCACTTAACTTTGTATTGTTGGCCATAACATTGATTGTTATAGAATAAAAATGGCAGCCCAGAACTTATAGAGGGAATGGGTAGACATAGAATTAGTCTACTTCTTATGTAGTATCTGTGATCTAACAGAAAGAGAGAGAGACAGAGACTGGGAGTTTCTGTGTAATCCCACCATGTGATGACCTTATGACAATACCTTCTTAATAGTTTCAATTTGTGATACAGAGAAAATAATAGAGACCACAAAACCTGCATTCTAATTCTGACTCTACCACTTTTACTAGCTTTATAACCCTAACTAGCCAACTTCTCTGAGTCTTTTTTAATTCAATTTTATTTCATTTTCAATTCCCAATTCTTTCCCTTTCATCTCCCCTTCCATGTCCATTGAGAAAGTATGAAAAACAAAACTTCTTACAAATATGAATAGTCGAGCAAAATAAATTCCTCTTAGCTGTGGCCAAAATAAAAATAAAATACGCTTCAGTCTGAATCCAGTACCTCTGTATCTAAAGGTAGATAGCATTTTTCATCAAGAGTCCTCTAGAATTATGGTTAGTCATTGTATTAATAATAGTTCCTAAGTGTTTCAAAGTTGTCTGTCTTTACAGGATTGTTGTATAAACGCTCTCCTGGTTCAACTCACTTCATTTGCTTCAGTTGACACAAGTCTTCTCAGTTTTCTCAGAAATTATTCCCTTCATCAGTTTTTTTTTAAATTTTTTTATAGTATGGTAATTTTTATTTATTTTTTTTTGTTTTCAACATTTACCTCCACAAGATCTCAAGTTCCAAACTTTCACCCCATCTCGCCCCCCCACCCCAAGATGGCCTGCACTCTGAACACCCCTTCCCCCAGTCTGCCTTCCCTTCCATCCCTCCCCCCCTCCCATCCCCTTCCCTTTCAATCCTCCCGCAGGGCAGGATGGATTTCTGTACCCCATTTCTTGTATTTCTTATTTCCCAGTTGCATGTGAAAACATTTTTTTTAAATGTGTTTTTAAAACTTTTGGGTTCCAAATTTTCTCCCTTCCTGCCTCCCCACCCACCCTCATTGATAAGGCAAGCAACTAAATATAGGTTATATATGTGCAGTTATGCAAACCCATAGTAGACATGCTGTGAGAAACTAACTCTATTTCCCTTAATCCTATCCCACCCCCCCATTTATTCTATTCTTTCTTTTGACCCTGACCCTCCTCAAAAGTACTTGCTTCTGATTACCCCCTTTCCCAATCTGCCCTCCTCTCTGTCATCCCCCTACTCCCTTGTCCCCTTCCCCCCCCCATTTTCCTGTAGGGTAAGACAGATTTCCATATCTAATTGAGTGTGTATGTTATTCCCTCCTTAAGTCAAATTCTATGAGAATAAGATTCACTCATTCCCTCTCACCTTTCCCCATTTCCCCTCCACTGTAAGAGCCTTTTCTTTTCAGTTTTTTTTGTGAGATAATTTACCATGTTCTACCTCTCCCTTTCTCTTTCTCCTAGTATAATCCTCTCTCGCCCTTTAATTTTATTCTCCAGATATGACCCCTTCATTTTCAACTCACCCTGTGCCCTCTCTCTCTCTCTCTCTCTCTCTCTCTCTCTCTGTCTCTCTATCTATCCATCTATCTATCTATCTATATCTATATATATGTACATATAATTTTTCCCTTTCAGCTACCCTAATACTGACAAAGGTCTCATGAGTTACAAATATCTTCTTTCCATGCAGGAATGTAAACAGTTCAACCTTAATAAGTCTCTTATGATTTTCTCTTTCCTGTTTACCTCTTCATGTTCCACTCAAGTCTTGTATTTGAAAATCAGATTTTCTATTCAGCTCTGGGCTTTTCGTCAAGAAAGCTTGAAAGTCCTCTATTTCACTGAATGGTCATTCACTGAAATGGTCAGACCATTTTTTCCCCTGCAGGATTTTACTCAGTTTTTCTGGGTAGGTGATTCTTGGTTGTAATCCTATCTCCTTTGCTCTCCGGAATATTATATTCCATGCCCTGCGGTCCCTTAATGTAGAAGCAGCTAAATCTTGTGTTATCCTGATTGTGTTTCCACAATACTTGATTTGTTTCTTTCTGGCTGCTTGTAATATTTTCTCTTTGACCTGGGAACTCTGGAATTTGGCTACAATATTCCTAGGAGTTTTCCTTTGGGGATCTCTTTCAGGAGGAGATTGGTGGATTCTTTCAATTTCTATTTTGCCCCCTGGTTCTAAAATATCAGGACAGTTTTCCATGATAATTTAAGATGATGTCTAGGCTCTTTTTTTGATCATGGCTTTCAGACAGTCCAATAATTTTAAAATTCTGTCTCTTGGATCTATTTTCCAGGTCAATTGTTTTCCAATGAGATATTTCACATTGTTTTCTAATTTTTCATTCTTTTGGATTTGTTTTACAGTGTCTCATAAGGTCACTAGCTTCCAATTGCTCTATTCTTATTTTTAAGGAAGTATTTTCTTCAGTAATCTTTTGGACTTCCTTTTTCATTTGGCCAGTTTTGCTCTTTAGGGCGTTCTTCTCCTCATTGGCTTTTTGGACCTCTTTTGCCATTTGGGTTAGGCTATTTTTTAAGGTGTTATTTTCTTAAGTATTTTTTTAGGTCTCCTTTAGCAAGCTGTTGACTTGTTTTTCATGATTTTCTTGCATCACTCTCATTTCTCTTCCCAGTTTTTCCTCTACTTCTCTTACTTGTCTCAAAATCCCTTTTGAGCTCTTCCAAGGCCTGGGACTGATTCATACTCTTCTTGGAGGTTTCGAATTTCGAAGCTTTGGCTTTATTGTCTTCTTCTGGTTGTATGTTTTGACCTTCTTTGTCACCAAAGTAAGATAATATAGTCTGACTTTTTGCACTGCTTACTCATGATCCCGGCCAATTACTTGAGTTTTAAATTCTTTGTTAAGGTAAAAGTCTGTTTCCAATGTGGAGAATGTACTGTCCCAAGCTTCAGGGGTTTGTACAGCTGTTTTCAGAGATACTTCTAGGGACCTGAAAATTTTCAGTTCTTCCAAGGTGCTATGATAAAGGGCGAGGTGTTTCCTCTCCACAGCCACAACAAGCTCCACTGCACTAGCACTCCTCCTCGCCCCAGGACCACCCCTCAGAACTGTGATCCAGATCCAAGCACTGGTAAAGCAAGAAATTCCTGCCTCAGCACTGGCAAAGAGATCCCTGCAATCCCCCTCTGATCAGCCACTTGATTCCCCCTTAGTCTGTGGGCCGGAAGCTCAGGAAACAGCCACGGCCCAGGGGGTGGCTGAGACCTAGCTCCTTCTCTCACCGCAGTCACCGACTTTTCCCACTGACCTTCTAAGTTGTCTTTGGCGTTCATGGGTTAAGAAGTCTGGAAATAGCCACAGCTGCCTGCGATTCAGTCCTCTGAGGCCTGCTCCAGGGTTTCTGTGGCCTGCACACCCACACCAAACTACGCTTCTCTCCCTGCCTGGTGCGATATACCTTTCTGATCAACCATCTGGGTTGTCTTAGGCTGGAAATTTGTTTCACTCTGTCTTTTTGTGGGTTCTGCTGCTTTAGAATTTGTTTAGAGCCATTTATTGTAGGTATTTGGAAGGGTTTGGGGGGAGAGCTCAAACAAGTCACTCCCTTCATCGGTTCTATTAGCATAATAGTATTCCATCACATTCATAAAGCATAACTGTACTGGCTGCGCCGACCTTCTGCCGGCCACACGCCGTACCCTCTCCTCCTGTAAGGAGCAGGCTACTAGAGTCATACTCACTTCCGAGTCTTCGGTCCTCAGCCGGATAAACACACAGAGACGAGCCATCGGGAGGCGCCAACACCAGAGCTTTATTCAGAGGCCATCACAGCAAGCCCAAGCAGCAAGCCCAAGCAGCAAGGCCAGAGCAACAGAGCAGGAGCCAGGAGAGAGAGTGCATGATCTGACCACGCTCGTTCCTAAGTACCTACTTAGCCCCTCCTCCCCAGCCTGCTTACTAGCCAATGATTGTAGGGTCAGATACCGGAAGGGGCTGTCTGAGTTTAGCACACCAAGGGGGAGGGAGTGACGTAGGAGTCTAGGACCAGATACAGGGAGGAGGCATCTGGGATTAATGCATAGACAGAGTACGTGACCTAGGAAGTCAGACTCAGATACTGGGAGGAGGGGTCTAGGGTCAGTGCTACACAAAGGGACCCAGGAAGTCAGGAAGGTCACAAGATGGAGGCGTCTGGGGATGACATAGCATATAGGGAGGGGACTAAGCAAAGGGAACTCAGTCCTCTGCCGTCCCACTCCCACGTGGCACCACCCCTTGCCTCAGGAGCTCAAGCTCCGGCTACTTCCTTGTACCCAGCTTATCTCACGTAACACTGCCCACTGCCTCAGGGCTTCTCCGTACCCAGCCCATCCCAGTTCACCATGACTCCGCCTACCACAGCCCCTGCCTCGAGTTCCAAAAATACCCAGATTCTACCCTACTCTTGCCACAGTGCCCAACTGGCAACTGCCAACATCAGACAGTCCCTCACAATTCCCCCTTTTTGTTTAATAGAGGGGTGGAGACAGGGTCTCCATACTAGGCCTTCGGTTCTGAGTGCCTCTATAAAACCTCTAAGAATCCTAAGAAAACCTCCTAAAATAGTGGGTAGTAACAATAACAGTATAAATGCAAAAGAGTTATAAATGCCCAATGGGTTACAAAGGAGGGGATGGGGAAAGAGGCATGCTTAATCCAAATCGCTAAGGTGATGAACAATATCATCAGTCTCGTGTTGGTGCCAAGTGTCAGATATGTTCCGTGCCAGTCTAATTAACACCCGCAAAGCCTGGAGTACAGAGGAAAGATTTGTAGCCTGGATCTGGGAAAGGGCACGGGTATCATTACATCAAAT